ACTTGTGGCAGCATTATTGGTGGAGGAGGATGATGAAGGATATTGTTGCGTATGTAGCTCAGTGTTTCAATTGTCAGCACGTAAAGTACGAGCATCAGAGATCTGGTGGTTTGCTTCAGAAGATATTCCTGAGTGAAAGTGGAAGCGTATCACTATGGACTTCGTTGTTGGACTCCCACGGACTCAGAGGAAGTTCAACGCAGTTTGGGTTATTGTGGATAGACTGACCAAGTCAGCACATTTCATTCTAGTGGCGGTTTTCCATTCTTCGGAGCGGTTGGCAGAGATCTATCCGTGAGATCGTTCGTCTTCATGGTGTGCCCGTGTCTATTATTTGTGATCAAGGTATGCAATTTACCTCGCATTTCTGGAGGGCAGTGCAGCGTGAGTTGGCTACACGGGTCGAGTTGAGCACAGTATTTCATACTCAGACGGACGGACAAGTCCGAGCGTACTACTCAGATCTTGGAGGATATGCTCCGCGCCTGTGTTATTGACTTTGGAGGTTCTTGGGATCAGTTCTTGCCGTTAGTGGAGTTTGCCTACAACAACAGCTATCAGTCGAGTATCCAGATGGCTCCCTATGAGGTATTATATGGTAGACGGTGTCGATCGCCGGTTGGGTGGTTTGAGCCAGGGGAGGCTCGATTATTGGGTACATATTTAGTGCAGGATGCCTTAGATAAGGTTAAGATCATTCAGGATAGGCTTCGTACAGCTCAGTCCAGGCAAATGAGTTATGCCGACCGTAAGGTTTGTGATGTGGAATTCATGGTTAGAAAGAGAGTGTTACTTCGGGTGTCACCCAAGAAGGGTGTGATGCGGTTTGGGAAGAAGGACAAGTTAAGCCCTAGGTTCATCAGGCCTTTTGAGATTCTTGATCGAGTAGGAGAGGTGGCTTACATACTGGCGTTGCCCCCGAGTTTATCAGCGGTACATCCAGTGTTTCATGTGTCCATGCTTCGGAAGTATCACGGCGATCCATCCCACGTGTTAGATTTCAGCACTATCCAATTAGACAATGATTTGACCTACGAAGAGGAGCCGATAGCTATTTTAGACCAGCAGGTTCGTCATTTGATATCGAAGAGTTACCCTTCGATTCATGTACAGTGGAGAGGTCAGCCTGTTGAGGCAGCTACCTAGGGGTCCGAGTCCGATATGCAGAGCAGATATCCCCATCTTTTCTCCAGCTCAGGTACTTTTCTATGTCCGTTCGAGGACGAACGATTGTTTTAGAGGTGGAGAATGTGATGACCCAAAAGGTTATCTTGCATTTTAGAACCCAATCAGGTGTTCCGAGGCTTTCAAAACCTCACTTTATTTCTCCTCGATTTGTGTGCGCAGTTCGGGCGTGTTTCCGGAAAGCCTTTATGTGAAAATTTGAGAAAATAATTAGTTTTTCCTCTAAAAGTTGATTTTAGTTGACTTCGGTCAACATTTTGAAATGGACCCGGACCCGTATTTTGACGGTCCCGGAGGGTCCGTAGTAAAATATGGGACCTGGGCGTATGCCCGGAATGGAATTCGGAGGTCCCTAGCCCGAGTGATGAATTTTTTGTTAAAAATTGTTAAGCTGAAAATCTAAGGATTTAAAGAAACTGGATAATGTTTGACCTCGTCGGTATCAGGCACGTATTTTGGTTCCAGAGCCCAGTATAGGTTTAATATGATATTTAAGTCATGTGTGTTAAATTTGGTGAAGATCGAATTTATTTGACGTGATTCGGACCTTTGGTTGAGAAAATAGAAGTTTGAAACTTTCTTGAAACGTTCATGCAATTTGGTGCTAAATTCATAGTTTAAATGTTATTTTGGCGATTTGATTGCACGACCAAGTTCGTATGATGTTTTAAGACTTGTGTGCATGCTTGGTTTGGAGCCCCGAGGGCTCTGGTGAGTTTCGGATAGGCTACAGAGTGATTTCGACTTAAGAAAAATTGCTGGGGAGGGGACTGGGGAGTTCGCATTTGCGAAGAAGTGGCCGCATTTACGGAAGTCTTTGTTCGCATTTGCGACTGGGACTTCGCATTTGCGATACCTTTCTCGCATTTGCGAGCTTCGCAAATGCGAAGCCCAGGTCGCAAATGTGACATCTGCAGCTGATAAGTTTTGGACTTTGACGGGATTTTCATTCATTCACCCATTTTTCAAAACCTAAACCTCAAGAGGCGATTTTCCAAAGGCAATTTCTTCCCCAAATCATAGGTAACGATTCTTAACTCATTTCTTTCAATCTATTGCATCTTTTTTCAAGATTTAATCATTGAATCTAGGGTTTTTCATAGTGGAATCGGGTATTTTTTGGTGGAACATAGGAATTCCGAAATATGGGGATTTAGACCTCAAATTGAGGTTGGATTCCAAAACCAATTGTATATCCGGGATCGGGGGTGAATGGGTAATCGGGTTTTGGTCCGAACTTCGAGTTTTGACCAAGCGGGCCCGAGGTCAATTTTTGACTTTTTAGGGAAAATATTGGGAAACTTACGCTTATGCATTGGAATTGATTTCTTTAGCGATAATTGATGTTATTATGTTAATGATGACTAGATACGAGTGGATTCGAGGTGGAATCTAGAGGAAAAATGGTAATTGAGCTTTGAATTGGCCGTTGGATTGTGGTAATTGTTTGGTCTAACTTCGACTTGAGGGATTAGGGATCCCCGACTTAATTGCTATGTGAAAATCTATGTGTGTGACGTATAGGTGAGGTGACGAGTACCTATGCGCCGCCAAATTATTTGTTTAGCCTGTTCCCTTCCCCGTTCCTAATATATTGTTTTCCTATCATAACTGCTACATGCTTATTGATGCTTCCATGTTTAATTGCTTCTTGTTAGATGTTGTTTGCTTTATTAAAGGTATTAATTGTTCCCTAGTTTATTGTATCACATTATTGGTTTAAGTTGCTTATTGGTGCTTCATGGTACAATTTGGTTGGTCACGCTGTATAGTATTTAATTGATGAAGTTTCATAATTGTATAAAGTTCCATTTGCTTTGGTTTGAGGCATAAATGTTGTGGAGGGATTTTGAGCTAAATTGTGAAATACTTGTTCTTATTGTGTGATTGGTACAGATATGGTGGAATCGGGTTGCACGCCGCAACAGGAGGAATAAGGGTGAAATGTAATTGTCTGGTGGGATCGGGTTGCATGCCGCAACAGGAGTAAAAAGGGTGGACAGTTGGGATCGGGTTGCACGCCACAATAGGAGGAATCAGGGTGATATAATGAGGAGCAATAAGGGTGGAATGGTGGGATCGGGTTGCATGCCGCAACAGGAGTAATAAAGGTGAATGTTTATATTGTCACTGATTATATAGTGGGATCGGGATGTGCGCCGCATCCTTTTGTTGTTTATGTATTCTTCTACTACTGTGGTTTATTTCTGTAGTATTGTAACTCTCTTAAGGATTGATTATAGCTGAGTACTGGAAAGATAATTGGGCTCCGTAATTTATTTTTTTGGGTGCAAGTTACTATTCCATTTCGTGTCGTATTTCCTTTTTGCTTTATTATAAACTGTATGCAGGTTATATTGAAATGCCTCGCCGTAGCCTCGTCACTACCTCGTCGAGGTTAAGCTCGGCACTTACCAGTACATGTGGTCGGTTGTACTTATACTGCACTTTGCACTTTCTGTGCAGATTTCGGAGCTGGTAGTGGCTGATCGAGAGATCGGTTGCAGATACTTCATTCAGGAGACCCAAGGTAGTCATGCTGGCGTCCGCAAGCCCTGGCGTCCCCTCCTATGTTTCTATTTCCCTGTTTTCTTTTCTTTCGAAACAGATGTACTTCTTTCAGATCAGTATTTGTAGTAATTCATAGTATGTTTGTGGATTGTGATACCAGTTTCTGGGTGGTAATAGCTTCGGTATTATTAATAGTATATAGATGGCCGGTTTATTATGTTCTTCCGCATTTATTTCGGTTTGGTTAAGTTTTGTTAATTTTAACTTGTAAAATATAAAGGAAAAAAGTGACTGGATTTCTAACATTAGATTTCCTAGCGAGTGCTATGCTACGCGCCAGCAAGGTCCCGACGGTGGAAAATTCGGATCGTGACACTACCGGTCCTGGCCCGTTTGGCCCGGGCCGGCCCCACTTGCCACCTTTACTCTTTTTGAGTGATAGTAAGTGACCTTAGCTTGTGAGTAAGATGGCAAAAATAGAGCAACTTTTGTGATACAAAATATAAAAGTAACTTTTACAGATAATTACCTACGTAAATTTTATGGGTGGTCATTCAGTTTGTATTTATTACCCAAAAGTCACTTTTCTTTCTTTTGTTACGTAAAAAAACATTCAATTTTGTGCTCATTACCCAAAAATCACTTTTCTTTCTTTTATTACACAAAAATTATTTTAGTATGTTGTAGTTATCACAATAACTTTGACCAGATTTTACAAACCTTTCACCTGAAAATTATATTATGCCCTTGACATTATAAATCCTCTCATTTATGCAATACCTTCTATATTATATGCTATATGATATACTTTTACCCAGGTATTTTTCTTATAATTAATATAACTTAATATTTTTTAATTATTATTTTTATAATATATTCGTACATTTAATTTTATCTTAACATTAATTTTAAAATATATAAGTAGCATTATCAAAATTTGTTAGTAACATTGCCGTGAACAAATATCAAATGCATGTTCTTAACCATGCTTAAAGAAATATTTTTAATGAATTTTTTTATAAAATCAAAGCTCATTAATTTATCAGTCAAACCATACCCATTAATCCAATAAAAAGAATACTTACATTTAGCATAATGACACATTCGATTAATGCATTCAAATAAATAAATTTCTTATGCCCCTGTCTTACTGCTTTTAATTTGCTTTTTTCTCTTGGTTTACTGATTTGAAAAAGGAAGACAGAGAGGGCAAAGGTGTCAATACAAGCGAATCCCATTGCACCATTGTCAATAAGGATTTGTTGAATACCCTCTCTTTATATATATACACCCCATGAGTAAAACTTCATCTACAAACTAAAAGAAACACTCAAACATCCTCTTTAAAACAATGACAACATCTCATACTTCTCCTCAAATTCCTCCCAAGTATTTACGAGAGGATGAACTCAATGAAGAGTGCAAGAAATTGCTCTTAACTTTACCTAAAGAAAGAGGATGGCTTTTCTCACATATCTACAACTACCAAGGTTTTTGGATAGCTCCAAGGCAACTCCAAGCAGTACGTGCTTGCCAACAACAATTTCTAGCTCAAGATAGCGATATCATCCTTGTTACCTTTCCTAAATCAGGAACTACATGGTTAAAAGCGCTCGTGTTCGCTCTAGTGAACCGAATGAACTACCCTATTTCGGGAAAAAATCACCCTTTGCTTTTCAAGAATCCTCATGATCTTGTTCCATTCTTGGAACTTAAGCTTTATGTTGATGGACAACTCCCTGATTTTTCATCCTACACTTCACCTAGATTGTTGTCCACTCATTTGACATATGGTTCATTACCAAAATCCGTCCAAGATTCCCAAAACAAACTTGTTTACTTGTGTAGGAATCCTAGGGACACTTTTATTTCCTTATTTCATTTTGCAAATATTTTAAAAATTGAAAACATGGGAATCAGTTCCATAGAAGAAATGCTTGACCTTTTCTGTAAAGGAGTGAGTTTTTATGGTCCGTTTTGGAATCATGTGTTAGATTATTGGAAAGAAAGCATGGAAAAGCCTAAAAAGGTACTTTTCTTGATGTATGAAGAGATGAAGGAACAACCAGAGATTCAGCTAAAACGATTAGCTGAATTCTTGGAATGTCCTTTCTCTATAGAGGAAGAAAATTGTGGAGTGGTGGATGAAATCTTAAGAATTTGTAGTTTTGAGAATTTGAGCAACTTGGAGGTGAACAAAAATGAGAATTTGTCAACTGGAGAGAAAAATAAGGCATTCTTTCGTCGAGGGGAAGTTGGAGACTGGAAGAATTACTTCACGACTGAGATGGTTGAGAAACTAAACCATATCATTGAGCAAAAGTTCCAAGGATCTGGAATAAGGTTTTTGTACATCTAATTTAGCATTTTGTTCTGCTAATTGTATGCAATAATTTTCCTCTTTTTGGTGTTTCAGGTTTATATTAGACATGTCTTATATTGAACTAGTGAGATTCATAATATGCATCCTCACTACTATTGTATTCTCTAGACTCTCGTTTCTTCATTTAAGGAAAAATGTTCACAATCAAGAAATCTACACAATAGAACTAGATTTAATTTTCTGCGAGTTTTGAACAATACATTCTCCTGCGTTTTTATTACAAAGCAATAGAAAATATGTCAGAGGCAGATTCAAGATTTAAGTTTTATGCGTTCAATTACATTTAAGGTTGTTAGCTTTGAAACCATTATTGTTTTAAAGTCATGGGTTCAAATCTACTATTCATTGCAATTTTGATAGATTTTTTTTCCATAATCATACTCAAAGTGAGTATGATTGATTAAACATAAGGAGACTTGTTACGCTAATCTTTTGAGATATGCCTTTTGATGTATATATATATATATATATATATATATATATATATATATATATATATATATATATATATATATATATATATATATATATATATGCAAAAGAACAAAGTTCAAGAAGATCGTGACCCCATCAAGGAGTCCACTAATATTGCTAAACATTTGCAGGTACACTGACCCATTTAAAATAAACATTATTAATCATAATACAAGATTCTTGCTTGATTTTTCCATTTTTTATAAAGAAGTTCCATTGACGACCTATAGCTGTCTTCCAATTAAATTAACAAGGTATAATACAGAGCAGTCCCATTAACAACCTACGGCTCTCTTGGCATATATGAAGTTCATTTAAGAAATAAAGGAAAACAAAAATGTGTAAGTTGGATGATCATTTAAAAAATTCGATGTTTAGTAGGTGAAGTGGCATGACACATCATCTTTCCGGAGCCGGAAAGTTTATTCTTCGGCTGAAATGATTTTCTTAGATAATTAACTTAAGTTGGAAGATTTTATTGTTAAAAAAAATTCAAAAGTGACGTTATTCAGTTATTTCTATAACTTAAATGACCGTCTGAATAATTAACTTTTTGCATGACAAAAAGCAATAAACCAACAGCCACTTCATATGTTAAATATCTTGCAACAATAAAACATGAGTAGTTGGAGATGCATGATTTACATGAGTATCATAATTCAGAGCATCTATATAATTGGTTTCCCGGCCTTTTGGTTAAGATCAAGTCTAGTATCCGTTCTTTTAGAACTGTAATTATTAAGTACTAATACATTGTCATGATTTGAAATTCCCACCGTCCAAATTATGACGACGCCTAGCATTTCACTTTCTAGGCAAGCCAACGTTAGAATAATTTATTTCTTTTAACGGTTTAAATGATAATATTGAGAAAGTACTGAAATAGCTAAAATAATCTAAAGTATAAATGCGGAAGCTAAACCAGCCAAACATCCATTAAAAAATCCTGAACCTGGTGTCACAAGGGCACGAGCTACTAGAATTGCACATACAAAGGTCCTAAATAAATACAGAGATGTCTGAATGAAAATACACAGCTAAATAGAAAGAGGAAGGGGACTCGAGGAGCTGCGGACGCTGAACGGCAGTACCTCAAGTTCCGCAACTGTCTAATCCGAGCACGCTAATAACCACCGCTGGGACCGACTCCAAAATCTGCACATTGTGCAGAGTGTAGTATCAGTACAACCGACCCCATGTACTGGTAAGTGCCGAGCCTAACCTCGACGAAATAGTGACGAGGCTAAGGCGGGTCACTTACACAACAACCTGTACGCAGCATATATAATAATGACAGAAAAACAGAAATATTGAACAGGATTTAAACAGTCATCTGAAAATAACGACCACAGCCTCAAGAATAAACCAGTATTGTCCAGAATTACCAATCTTTAATAGTTCAAACAAAATACCGGAAACCAACACAACTCAAGTAATGGAAACATATAGATTGTTGTGGCGCATAACCCGATCACACCAGATAACACAAGATCCTCCCTTATTTCACCGTATCATATCAACAATAGTAAATGATATATATATGTTGCGGCGTGCAACTCGATCCTACCATATCAGTCCACCCATATTCCACCTGTTGTGCGTGTCCAACCCGATTCCACCGTATAGAACATATTCACCCTTATTCCGCCATATCAATCAACCCTTATTACACTTGATGCGGCATGCAGCCCGATCCCAACATATCAGTACCAAATACTCAAAGCACAACCAAATCAACTGTTCAATCACAAAGCTCGTACGATCAATGAATACCAAAATGGACCAAAAGGGAACTTGTACAATAAAGAAATCTACACGAGTAATATTACACAGCAAGACCAATCACGCAATTGACAATTAGAAGGTGCAAGTAAGTCAATTTAAGCAAATAGCAGGGAATCATGAAACTATGGACGGACTAACATCATTAAAAGGAGAAGATATTGATTAACAAATAGCAGTTAAGCATGGAAAGCATTTAGAGCATTTAATAGTTAAGGCAGGAAAGAAAATAATTATGGAAAGGCGGAAAATCAAGAGAAACAGATAATATGACGGCGTATAAGCACTCGTCACCTTGCATATATGCCTCTCAGATGCAATTCGCATAGCACATTGTCCGAGGGTCCCTAATTCCCTCAAGTCAAGGTTAGACACAACACTTACCTCACTCCACGTTCAATTCAAAGCTCTAACGGGGCCTTTCCCCTAGAATCCGCCTCCAAACTACTTGTATCTAGCCACAATTAACTCAATAACATCAAATATTGCTAAAGGAATCAACTACAATGCACAAATACAGATTTCCGAAACTTTCCCCCAAAAAGTAAAAATCGACCTCGGGCTCGCTGGGTCAAAATTCAAGGCTCGCACATAAATCCATTTACCCATTCACCCCCGAGCTTGATTATGTAATTTGTCTCATAATCCAACCTCAATTCGTGGTCTAAATTCAAATTATACAAAAATACCTAATTCTACCCAAACCCCTAATTTCCACCATGAAAACCCTAGATTTTAGGTTGAAAACTCATGAAATGTAAGGGTAATTGAAAGAAAGTGGGTTAGAATCACTTACCAACAAACTGGGAAGAAAATATCTTGGAAATATCGTCTTTAGGCTTTCTAGCTTTAGTAAATTTGAAAGAATGGCAAAAATCTCGTAATGGGACTGTTTTAATAACTCGGCGTCAGTGTTCATCACGTTCGCGTGAACACTAACACGTTTGCGAAGAGCTGCGCCTTAATGGCTTATGCGATCGCGAGTTGTTGTACGCGTTCGCGCAGGCTTATCCCCCCTAGCCTCCGCGTTCGTGATACCTGCATCACGTTCACATTGAACAACGGTCAAGTCCCAACCAACCTCCAATGACTCTACACGTTCGTGTGTGACGAGTCGCGTTCGCGTAGAGCAAATCCCCTAATGCTCCGCGTTCGCGACCTTGGTCTCGCGTTCGCATAGTGTAAAATTCTCCGGCAACCTAGATGCAACAAAAACACCAGATTTTCTAAGTTCAAATCACCTCGAAGCCTATCCGAAACTCACCCGAGCCCTCGGGGCTCCAAACCAAACATGCACACAAGTCCTAAAACATTATACGAACTTGATCGCAAGATCAAATCGCCAAAATAACTCCTAGAACAACGAATTGAACACCAAATCAAATGAAATTTTTAAGAAAACTTTAAAACTTGTATTTCTACAACTGGACGTCCGAATCACGTCAAACCAACTCCGTTTCTCACCAAATTTCATAGACAAGTCATAAATATAATAATGAACCTGTACCGGGCTCCGGAACCAAAATATGGACCAGATATCAACAAGGCCAAACATTAGTCAATTCCTAAAATCTTTAAACTTTCAAACTTTCAATTTTAAAGAAAAATTCATATCTCGAGCTAGGGACCTCAGAATTCGATTCCGGGCATACGCCCAGGTCACAAATTAAGATACGAACCGACCGGGACCGTCGAAACCAGATTCGGGTCCGTTTGCTCAAAACATTGACCAAAGTCATCTCAATTTAACTTTTAAGGCAAACATTCTTATTTTTATCTGTTTTTAACATATAAGCGTTCCGAAAAAACACCCAGACCGTGCACGCAAATGGAGGAAGGCTAAAATAAGATATTTAAGGCTTCGGAACACATAATTTAGTTCTAAAACATGAGATGACCTATCAGGTTATCACATTCTCCACCTCTAAAACAACCGTTCGTCCTCGAACGGACATAGAAAAGTCCCTGAGCTGGTGAAAAGGTGGGGATATCTAATCCGCATGTCCGACTCGGATTCCAAAGTAGCTGCCTCGACGGGCTGACCTCTCCACTGCAGTCGAACTGAAGGATAACTCTTTGATCTCAACTAGCAAACCTGCCGGGCTAGAATAGCCATCGACTCCTCCTCATAAGTCAAATGCTTGTCCAACTGGACAGAGTTGAAATCTAGAACATCAGACGGATCATTGTGGTACTTCCGGAGTATGGACACATGGAATAACGGATGAACTGTTGACAAACTAGGTGGCAATGCGAGCTTGTAAGCCACCTCACCCACTCTCTGAAGAATCTCGAATGGTCCGATGTACCTAGGGCTCAACTTGCCCTTCTTTCCAAACCTCATTACACCCTTCATGGGTGAAACACGGAGCAGCACTCTCTCTCTGACCATGAATGCAACATCACGAACCGTACGGTCGGCATAACTCTTCTGCCTGGACTAAGCTGTGCAAAGTCTATCCTGAATGATCTTAACTTTATCCAAGGCATCCTGTACCAAATCTGTACCCAATAACCGAGCCTCCCATCGCTCGAACCATCCAACTGGTAGCTGTTGTTGTAGGCAAACTCCGCAAGTGGCAATAACTGTTCCCAAGAGCCTCCGAAGTCAATAACACAAGCGTGGAGCATATCCTCCAATATCTGAAAATGTCCGTCCGTTTGAGGAAACGTTGTACTTCCCTCTAGAAATGCGAGGTGAACTACGTACCTCGATCAGAAATGATAGACACTGGCACACCGTGAAGACGAACAATCTCGCTGATATAAATCTCTGCCAGCCGCTCTGAAGAATAGGTAACTGCCACAGGAATGAAATGTGTTGACTTGGTCAGCCTATCCACAAAGACCCAAACTGCATCAAACATTCTTTGAGTCCGTGGGAGTCCAACAACGAAATCCATAGTGATACGCTCCCACTTCCACTTAGGAATCTCTATCTTCTGAAGCAAACCACCAGGTCTCTGATGCTCATACTTTACTTGCTGACAATTTAGACACCGATCCACATATACAAATATGTCCTTCTTCATCCTCCTCCACCACTAATGCTACCGCAAGTCTTGATACATCTTGGCGGTGCCGGATGAATAGAATACCGGGAACTGTGGTCCTCCTCTAGAATCAACTCACGAAGTCCATCCACATTAGGCACACAAACACAACCCTGCATCCTCAAAACTCCATCATCTCCAACCATAACCTGCTTGGCATCTATGTGTTGCACTGTGTCCCTAAGGACAAGCAAATGAGGGTCATCGTACTGTCACTTCCTGATGCTCTCAAACAATAAAGACTGAGCGACGGTACAAGCTAGAACACGACTAGCTCAAAAACATCCAACCTCACGAACTGATTGGCCAAAGCTTGAACATCTAATGCAAGCGGTCTCTCACGGACTAGAAATAATGCAAGGCTGCCCACACTCACTGACTTTCTACTCAAAGCATTGGCCACCATATTGGCCTTCCCGAGATGATACAAGATGGTGATATCATAATCTTTCAATAGCTCTAACCACCTACTCTGCCTCCAATTGAGCTCGTTTTGCTTGAACAAATACTACAAACTCTGATGATCCGTGAATACCTCACACGACACGCCGTATAGATAATTCCTCCAAATCTTCAGCGCATGAACAATGGCTGCCAACTCTAAGTCATGAACAGGGCAACTCTTCTCGTGATTCAGCTACCGCGACGCATATGCAATCACCTTACTGCCCTGCATCAATACTGCACCAAGTCCAATACGAGATGCATCATAATATACGTATAAGATCTTGAACCTATGGGCAACACCAACACTGGCGCCGTAGTCAAAGCAGTCTTCAGCTTCTGAAAGCTCGCCTCACACTCATCTGACCATCTGAACGGGGCACCCTTCTGGGTCAACCTGGTCAATGGGATGAAAACCCCTCCACAAACCAACGGTAATAACCTGCCAACCTCTAGAAACTCGGAATCTCTGTAGCTAATGTGCGTCTAGGCCAGTTCTAAACTGCCTCAATCGTCTTAGGATCCACCTGAATACCCTCTACCGATACAACGTGCCCCAAGAAAGTGACTGAGCTTAACCAAAACTTATATTTTGAAAACATAGCATATAACTGGCTGTCTCTTAGAGTCTGAAGAACGATCCGAAGATGCTGCTCATGTTCCTCTCGACTGTGGGAGTAGATCAAATTATCATCAATAAACACAATCACAAAGGAACCCAGATAGTGCTTTAACACCTGATTCATCAAATCCATAAATGATGCTGGGGAATTTGTCAGCCCAAATGACATCACTAGAAACTCATAATGCCCATATCAAGTCCGAAAAGCTATCTTAGGGACATCGCATGCCCTAATCCTCAACTGATGGTAGCCAGACCTCAAATCAATCTTTTAATATACTTTGGCACTCTAAAGCTGATCAAATAAGTCATCAATAGGTCTGGGATGTTCTCTCTCGGTGCATGTTAAGCAGAGTTTGCTAACGTGCACGGGTAACATGACAATTCCGGCCACCACCGCCATAACGCCATCGGTGAGCTTAGTCACACCAAGCATCACTTCACCAGCACTTGAAAAGACACTAACCTTTGTAAGCTTCCTTCCAATTCAATTCCAAACGATAAATGAAGATCCAGATGAGGATGGAGCTAATGGCCAACAAAATTTAGCCGTGAAACGAGCAGCGAGAAGAACAGGTGAAGAAGTTCCACGCCGGATCCAATTTTCTGACCTAGCTAAAACTACAGCACAAGCTCCATCCATGGCTAAGGTACCTGCACCAATGGAACAGGAACCAATGGAACAGGAACTAGTTGAAAAAAGTAACAGAAGCGAGGAGAAGCCATATAGAAGGAATGGTAGTGTCCAAATGGGGAAAGCTCTCACCTACATTCCACCAGATCTGCAGGGGGATACAATTGAAGTAACAATTGAAGAGGAAGACATCAAGGAGCAGCAGAATTACTGGACTACTGCACTCATTGGGTACGTATTGGGTGAAAATCCATATTTCAAATCTATAGAGAACTATGTCGAGAATGTTTGGGATTTTGTTAATACTCCAAAGATATTGTACCACGATAAGGGTTACTACATATTTAGATTTGATTCAATTGAAGATAGAGACAAAATCATGCAATGAGGACCTTATACTTTTCATAATAAGCCATTTATATTGAAGAATTGGACACTTGATTTTGTTTTTAATCCGGACTGTTTGAATGTAATTCCAATTTGGGCAAGATTTCAAAACCTACCTGTGGGATTTTGGTCAGCTGAGGCCCTAATCAAAATGGCAAGTGGTATAGGTAAGCCAATGTACACAGATCTGTATACTGCTGTGATGGATAGAATTTCATATGCAAGGGTCCTTGTTGAAGCAGATATTTCTCATCCTTTGCCAAATGATATTTTACTTCGTACTCCAGTAGGAGTAATTCATCAAAGCATAGAGTATCACTGGAAGCCTAAGTTTTGTATGGACTGTGCAAAGGTTGGGCATACCACTGAAGAATGTAGACAGAACAAGGAAAAAGGAGAATCTAGAGAATTTGTAGAACAGAACAAAAGAAGGAGAAATGGCAAAAGAAGAAGAAAAGTGGAAACTAAGTGGGTAGCAAAAGAGGTGCCTGAACCAAAAATTGGGAAAGATGAGACTGCAAAGGTGACTGGAATACATGACAATATAGCAGAAGAACAAAGGGAAGCTAGACAGCTAGATAGTAATGAATTCCCACCACTCTCAGTAATAAGGAGTGAGAGGAATCATGATAAGCAAACACTAGTGTCTACAGGGGATGAACCAAGCTGTTCTACTAGCCAAATCAACACCACAAATAGATTTGATGTCCTGAACCAAGGTGGTACTGCAAATGATACTGGACAGGGTGGACAAAACCACCCTGCACCTAAATAATTCTCAGCACCTGGAATATTAGAGGGCTGAATAAGCCCTTTAAACAGAAGGAGTTGATGCTCTTTCTGAAGAAGTATAAGTTAGAGGTAATGGGGCTAGTTGAGACAAGGGTGAAAGAGAATAAGGCAAACAGAGTAGCTCTGAAAATAGTTTAGGATTGGAAAGTACAGTCCAACTATAACTGTGCATATAATGGAAGAATTTTAATATGGAGGCCTCATATTCATATCCAGATTCTGAAGGTTGATGCACAGTTTATTCACTGTGAAGTGGAGGACTATGCTAGACAGAAGAAATGGCTTTTCACTGTTGTATATGCTTATAATGAATGGAACTCTGGACAACAATTATGGGAGAAGCTTATTGGTATAGGATCCAGTATAACTGATGACTGGTTAATTAGTGGTGTTTTTAACAATGTCATGCACTCAGATGATAGAATAGGAGCTCCTATAACCCAGGCAGAGATACAAGGGTTCAAGGAATTCTTAGACAAAATGCAACTCACTCCCTTGAAAAGCACAGGATGGTATTATACATGGTGTAATAAAAGGGATGAAAATGTGAGGGTGTATAGTAATATAGATTGGGCTTTTGGAAATTTCAGTTGGATGATGAACAATGGGCATACTGAGGCAGAATATCTAAATCCTGGGGTATCTGATCACTCCCTTATATTGATGAATTGGAGGACTGGCATCATTCAACAACAGCTGCATCCTAGGCCATTTAGATTGTACCATACTGTCCTTCACCATCCTGACTTCACAAGGATAGTGAAAGAAGTATGGGTGCAAAATGAGTGTGTCCCAGGAAAGTCAAGGACATGGAATAAATTTGGAAATATGAAAGTGGCATTGAAAGACCTGAACATCTATATGGCAACTTACCAGCAAAAACTGAGTCAAGCAAAACAGAAGTTAGAACTGGTGCAGCATCAACTGTCTATTCAGCCTTTAAGACAGGAATGCATTGAAGAAGAAAAGGAAGCATTATTAGAAGTGGAGAAATGGAGTAACATTGAGGAACATGTGATGAGGCAGAAGTCTAGAGCTACTTGGATTCAACATGGAGATGCCAACACCAAGTACATCCATGCTCAATGGAAAATGCGTACTAACAATACTGCTATTGTTTCTATTCACAATGATGTAGGTATCTAACTAACAGATCATAAACAGGTGGAGGAGCAATTTTTGGGATTCTTTAAGGCACTAATGGGTGAGTCTACACCAGTACACCATGCCCAGATGATGAGGTAATTAAAAAGGGACATTGTTTAACAAGGTCACAGCAATTGGAGATGATCAAGCCAATCACAGAGGAAGAGATAATGGGAGCTATTAAAAGCATGCCAACTAACAAAGCTCCAGGTGTTGATGGTTTTCCAGTTGAATTCTATACAAGCCAATGGGAGGTGATCAAAGCAGATGTGATTGCTGATGTCTTGGACTTCTTTGAGATAGGAAAGCTGCCAAAGGCCATAAATAGTACTGCTCTTACTCTTATTCCTAAAGTTCCTAATCCTACTCAGGTTAAGCACTTTAGGCCAATAGCATGCTGCACTACTATTTACAAGATAATCACCAAGATTATAACTGGGAGATTAAAAGCAGTAATGAACTACTTAGTAGGAGACTCTCAATCAGCATTCATTGAAGGCAGGAATATTACTGATAACATCCTATTCACTCATGAACTTTTCAAAGGCTATACTAGGAAAGGCATATCTTCAAGATGTATCCTAAAGGTAGATCTGAGGAAAGCCTATGATACATTGGATTGGTTCTATTTGAAAAGGATATTGATAGGACTGGGGTTTCCATATAAATTTGTATGCTGGATTATGGAATGTATAACAATTGTATCTTACTCTTTGACCTTAAATGGAGGTCTCACTAAACCATTTGAGGGCAAGAGGGGGATAAGGCAGGGTGATCCTATATCACCCTACTTATTTGTGATAGCTATGGAGTACTAGCAAAGGGAATTTAGTCTACTGGCATCAAATAAAGAGTTCCACTTTCATCCAAGGTGCAAAAAGCTAGGTGTGATGCATGTGTGCTTTGCAGATGATTTATTGATGTTCTGCAGAGCTGACTTACAGTCAGTTAAACTACTGTACGATGCTTTCCTGAAATTTTCAAAAGCATCAGGACTACAAGCAAATCCGGAGAAAAGCTCAGTATATATTGCAGGCACATCTGAGAGGATAAAAGAACTTATATTGCAGGAGTTGGCTTACAATGAAGGCAACTTACCCTTTAAATATTTAGGGGTCCCATTAGCTCCCAAAAAGCTGTCTAATCATCAGTGTTGGCCATTAGTTGAAAAAATCACTGCAAGAATCAGCTGCTGGACCTCAAAACTATTATCATATGCTGGAAGACTGCAACTCATCAAGTCAGTAATATTTGGGATGCAGTATTTTTGGGCTCAGGTATTTTTACTACCAAAGAAGATCAGCAAAATGATAGAGACTGTGTGTAGAACTTACCTATGGACTGGGCAGGCTGACATCTCCAGGAGAGCCTTGGTAGCATGGGATAGAGTTTGTTTACCACAAACAATGGGAGGGTTGAATGTGATAAATCTGTGCAACTGGAACAAAGCTGCAATAATGAAGCATCTATGGGCAATCACAAAGAAGAAAGACTGTTTGTGGATTCAATGGGTCCATACCTACTACATAAAAAATAGGAGCATTGACACTATGCCTATACCTAAGAATGCAGCTTGGGTTGTAAGGAAGATTATTGAGCAAAGGAAGTTCATATTGAATATACCAACTCTACAAGGCAATGTGCAAGAACGACTGGAATCTCTACAAAGCACAAGTGGTAAATTCAGTATTAAGAAGCTTTATAACTTGCAAACTCCTCAGGGACAGAAGGTATACTGGAAAAGTTTGATCTTACATCCTCATATACATCCAAGACACAAGTTTAACATGTGGCTGACCATCCAAAGAAGACTACCAACTGTGGATCGATTGCAGAAAATAGGAATTCAAGTAAACCTAATGTGTGTTTTTTGTGGTCAGGCAGAAGAGCTATTGGAACATCTATTCTTTGAATGCTCATACACAAGTTCTATCTGGAAGAGATTGCTAAACTGGATGGGAATTCAAAGACAAATTCAAACTTGGGAGGAGGAGCTACAATGGGTGACTTATCAGGCTAGGAAGAAGAAAGGGATTGGCAATATCATTTCAGCAGTTTTTGGCATGTTGCTGCACAATATATGGAGGGACAGGAATGCAATCAGATTTCAAAGTGGATGCACCTTAGTAGAGCAGATATGCAGAGAGATCACCTCATATATCCATATCAAGAGCCATATACACAACAATTGGAAGGATTATATGGAAGCTTTAGATAGATATCCATAACTTCTTATGTGTAATTCAGTTTATGTTAGAGTTTTGCTAGAAGTATATGTATAGGATATGAACATTATAGCTTACTAGTATAGTGAATAGGGAGACATCTTTGAGATGTAGAAGTTAAGTATAGTCGAAGAAGAGATAAGGAGCTGGTCGGCAGATCCTATTATGTACAGAACAATTTTTGATGAATGAAAAGGTAGTTTATCAAAAAAAAAAGATAATCTATGCACATCCTTATCGATCCATCATTCTTCTTTACAAACAAGACAGGTGCATCCCAGGGTGAGACACTAGGTCTAATGAAGCCCTTAATTATCAAGCAAATCTTGCAACTGGTGCCACAACTCTTTCAACTCTGGCGGGGCCATACGGCATGGCGGAATAGAAATGGGCTGAGTGCTCGCTGCCAAATCAATACAGAAGTCGATATCTCTTTGTCACGACCCAAACCGATAGGCCGCTCAACCGAGTACCAACATAACGTATCTCTTCGTATCATGCTATCATAGGTAAATAAACCAGAGTAAAGCATGAGGGAATACAAACTTATACATATAAAGTACGGGCCATAAGGCCAGTATGATTCTTTATATACTCGAAACATAGGCCGACAAGGCCATACAAGTATCCGTATACATGACATTTGTCTATAAGCTTCTAAGAATACATAATATCGTAAAGGTCGGGACAGGGTCCCGCCATAATAATCAATATATGTACTAATCATACTGACCAAAAAAGGAACTCCGGAGCAAATGAAGCACACCAACACCTTTCGCTGAGTTGATAGCCTACTTAGAGGACTCTCGACCTGTCTATCAGGAACTGCGGGCATGAAACGCAGCGTCCCCAGGCAAAAGGGACGTCTGTACATATAATGTACCGAGTATGTAAGGAAAGAAAATCAGTAACTAGTAGACATGAGAGAAACATGGAGTAAAAGACTCAACATGTATATATGAATAACTCTGTGAATCATTTAATATAATAATTTTTGCCTATTCGTATAAATGTCATACCATTCATGGGTATATGCATTCATAACATCATCAAGCCTCTGAGGGCATCCCATCATATCATCTCAGACACTGTGGGCAAATCATCAACGTATACCAGCTGATCAGGTGGTGGTGCGTATATAACGCCATAACCTTTTCCCATATAGCATATACATATATATACATATATGCACGTGTATAACGCTATCTGGTCATGTGTTAATGTACATGAATTCAATGAATGAGAAGTACGTCAATAAAATCTCTTGGAATGTCATAAGACCATTATGCCTTCGAGTAATATCATGAAGTAAACTTTTTTTCAACTTATGTATTTTTTCGAGACCCATGAACATATGATAGAATAATATGACACATGGAAATTCAAGAACATAGGCACCGGTAATACTTTTATGAATAGAGTCATTTATGGAAGTTATGCATTTTCTCGTTTCGTTTGTGTCGTATATATCATTCCAAAAGAAAGAAGGGATAGCCTTAACATACATGAGCCGGTTCTCTGGACAATCCTTTCAACATACGACAATTGCGATAAAAATCGTGACAGCAAGATAGGGTAGGGAAAAATCCGTATAATATTCTTGAGAAAGATTGTACCGTGCCCTATCCGAATCGCAAAATCCCGTTGCTATTATCTTACGAAATCTCGTATGAATTTTTGGTAACAATTTCCCCATGATCACTTGTGAATTGATCTCAAACTTGTAAGGTACTTACTGATGCAACAATTTTGAGAGTCTTTATGGCTCTTTATGAATTTCATCTCCTTTTGAATAATCCCAAACCTTGAATTTTGAGAAGTCATTCCTTAATAATTTCTTTAAGGGTTGACACCTTGTAAAGTTATGCAAGAGTCACATAATGACTCATGTAGGGGCTGCCACGTTTTTTTGGCTTTGTCTTTATCCAAAGACTTCAATTAATCAACCACTAATTATTAGTTAACTTGTTAATTCCTCCATTATCCTATAATTCACATAATTATGGATCTCAAATTACTTAAAATACTTACTCACTTTTAACATACCTTATACACATTACTATCATGGTCATGTGGTACCTTGTATGGCACTAGTCCATTAATATTGGGTATTTTAGCTCGGGCCATATTTTATCCCAAATTGTCAAACTTCGACGAAATTCACTTTCTTCGACTTACTTACCCTCTCACCTTCACGAACATACTCATCACTTGTTTGAAATAGCATAATGCTTATAACCTCAAAATAACATACGAAAATGCGGTATGTAACATCTCATTTTCGAGCTTCCATCAATTTATTTATGGCGTACTTTCACGTATGAATATATGGGGTGTAACATCATTCCCCCCTTTGGAACATTTGCCCTCGAATGTTGACTGATGCACTTATTATTTTCATGACTTATACCTTTCGACTACTTTAGTACTCTCCTTGCCATCTAGGCAACTGTTCTGTGAATAATTCCAAAGGTTCGGGCATTTCCCCCTTTAGGCCACTTTCTCACAACATTTCGGAATCCTTCCAATCTTGTAACTGTTGTTACCTTCTATCATGCAGCCTATATGACTCTGACCTTGTAAGTGCGCCTATGTGACTCTTCTCTCCTTTTTCCTCCAGCTTCTAGCCCATCTCTAGGCCTTCACTTTGTAAACACATTAGATTTGACAAGATGTACCTCTGGCATCTATAGGTATACTGAAGTTCTTCTCCCGGTTGCTTTTTTAAAACTTACGAATATTGTTATACCTTATTTCATAGATCCGTTCATCCATCCATATGACTTTACTGCCATAACCTTTACTTTGATTTATCATTACTGAGGTCTGCTACCAAATTCCAGGTTACTCTCGTTGCTTATCCCATATGTATAAATTCAAGTCCTTTAATGCTTCCTCAGTACTGTTCATCTTAAGAATGGCGGCCTAATTGTCACGACCCAAACCGATGGGCCGCAACGGCACACCGGTACCTTACTCAACCGAGTACCTACGTAACGTATCTTTCATATCATACTATCGTAGGTAAATGAGCCAGAGAGGCTATACGTGAAGAAAAGTACAAGTAAAACATGGAGTAAATACTCATCATTGGACGATCCAACATGTAATCCAAACTTATACATATGACGTACGGGCCTATAAGGCCAGCATGATTCTCTATATACTCAAAACATAGGCCGACAAGGCCATACAAGTATCTGTGTACATGATATCAGTCTACAAGCTTCTAAAAAAACATAATATCATAAAGGTTGGGATAGAGTCCCGCCATACCAAACAAGCAACTCCGAAGCAAATGAGCGCACCAACATCTTTCGTTGAGCTGATAGCCTATTTGGAGGGCTCTCGGCCTGTCTATCGGGACCTGCGGGCATGAAACGCAACGTCCCCAAGCAAAAGGGACGTTAGTACGAATAATGTACCGAGTATGTAAGGTACATTAATAAGTACATAACAGGCATGGAAGAAATATAGAGCAAATGACTCAACCTGTAAGTCTGGATAGCTCTGTAAATCATGAAATATTTATAGTGTCATGCATATGCATATGAATGTCATGTCATGCATAGGTACATATGTCATAACATTATCAGGCCTCTAAGGGCATCCCATCATATCATCTCGGCCACTGTGGGCAAAATCATCAACGTATACCAACTGATCAGGTGGTGGTGCGTATATAACGCCATAACCTCTCCCATATCCCATATACATATATATACATATATATACGCGTATATAACGCCATTTGGTCATGGGTCAATGTACATGTATAACTGAATAAAATGCATGAAAATATTGTAATAATCTCAACATTCCCTTCGGATAAACTTTATCAACTGCGTATTATTATGAGACCCATGAACAGATGATATAGTATATGTCACATGGGGAATCAAGAACATAGAGACCCCTATTATTTCTATGAATAGAGTCGTTTATGAAAGTTGTGCGTTTGCTCGTTTCATTTTGTATCATTTGGATCATGCCAAAAAGAAAGAAGGGATAGCCTTAACATACCTATAGTAGAGAAAAATCCATATGATATTCTTGGAAAAAGTTGCACCGTACTTCCTTAAAATCACAAAATATCACGTTGTTAATGTGCCAAGAAATTTCGTTGGTTGAAGAAATTACGTTGTAGTGTTCTTGTAGGAATTGTTGGAATTTTGCAAGAAAATCATGTCATCAGAAGAAAGACTTCATAGTGTTTATCCATCCATGATTGGATTTCCAAAGACATGGATCAACCTTGATCACCTAGTTTTGCCATGACAAGAGCATGAATGAATGATTGCAATATATCAGCTGCCTTTGAATCCTTACGAGTAATAATGTTGATAATATCCCTTTCTTGTTGAAGTAAATACTTTTCTTTCTTGTGATTTGATCCAGCAGATTGTAAGAAATCAAGTTGTTTGTATTGAAAATCTTGGAAGTGACGTGCCTTGTAATTAATCTACTAAGTTGCCACTTAACCAAAATGGATCAAGAGTCATTTGGTTAAGAATTACCTTGCCATCACGTTCTTGCTTTGGTCCTTATCCAAAGTTTTTTTAATTAATCCACCACTAGTTATTAATTAATTAGGTAATGTTCCATTACCCAATAATTAACCAATTACCCACATAATTGAGAATTATTTCCACTTACTTAAAATACTACTCACTTTTCACATACCTTGTACACCTTACTATCATGGTCATGTGGTACCTCGTATGGCACTAGTCCTTAAATACCGAGTATTTTAGCTCGGGTCGTATCTTATCCCAACATGCCAAACTTGGACGAAAATTTATTTTCTTTGACTTGCTTCCCCTCTCACCTTCACGAATTTACTTATCATATGTTTGGAATAGCATAATACTTATAATCACAAAATAATGTCATTCCTGAGCTTACATCGATTAACTTACGACGAAACATTAACGTCCAAAAAAACACGGGATGTAACATCTCATTTCCGAGCTCTCATCAATTTATTTATGGCGTACTTTCAT